TGGACTTTCTTGAGATTTGTGGAGTGTATATGTTGTGAACTTGGGACATATAGTTTCATTTTTTTGTTGTTGCTTTTTGTCTTGTATCGCATTACTAATGGTTTATTTTTTCTAGATTAGGTCAGTTTTAAGAACAGCTTTATAGTTACTATTTCTTCGCTGTTATTGTAGATTATAGGAACTCTTTTTTCAGGTGTTTTCAAGGACGTCTTTGAACTTTTCTTTCCAGTTCTTAGGTTTGTATATTTCTTTGTTTTGGTCTTGTTTTCCTTTTTTCTTTTGGGTTGTCGCTTATTGCATTACGCAATGCTCTTGTCACTGGTGTCGTCGTAAATGGAGTGATGAAAACACTTTCACCGCTGGTGTTGAGTGGTGGATTATTCGTTGGTGTCGTCACTATTGAAGTGAATTATTTATGTTTCGTTGATTTCGTCGTCAATTTCGTCGTTATTGCCATGGTTGGTATTGTCATTGTCTGAGGAGTCTTTAATTTATCGCTTTTGCTGTTAGTTAGGTTAGGATGTCTTGGATTTATCGTCTTTGTTATTAGTTAGGGTTAGGGTATCTTGGATTCTATAGTTTACTGTTAAATTGGGTTAGGGTTGGATTAAAGTAGATTTAGAGTAGATTAGTAGTTGCGCGAAATAGCATGATATAATCGTTGTATCATGCTGCGCAAGTATAATAAATTAATCGTGTAATAATTATTTATAAATCATCATATATCATGTAAATGCTGTAAATCATATAACAGCTTAGTAATTATATTGATCATATCGATTACGTGATATGAGGGGTGCACCATGGTGCAGATGCACCAAAAAATAAAATCTATATATTAAAATATCAAAAAATAACTTTGCATTTTTCATCTGTCCACTTATATGATTTAGGGTTATACAAAAATTTTAGACTTATCCTACACCCTACATATCATTAATCTAGAAAAAAAGAGGAGTTTTTTAGTATTACATTAAAAATAGTGTCATTTTTTTTAAACTCTATTTTCTTATTTTACACTCCTATATATTATTAATTTATAAAAAAAGAGGAGTTTTTTTTTGTGTTATATTAAAAATAGGACCTTTTTTATGGCTTTATTTTTTTATTTTTTTTTTTTTAGCAATCCTGTTTACTTTATTATTGGAACAGACTTTCATCCTTATACGGCATAAGAAATCTAAATCTATAAGTATTCCAACCAAAATGTAAACTCACCTATAATGTACTTTGCAGATGCTGTAACATCCACTTGCAGTTAGGGCAAACTAATAAACTGCTGTGTTTTGCCCAGATGCGATCTGCTTAGCAACACTTAGCCTTCTCCAGAGATCTGAAACTCACTTCGAACTTATTTTCTCTGGATTTCTCAGCTGGCTGTTGCTTGCTCTGTCAAGATTCCTACCCTACAATAGAATGCTGCTAAACTAATGACACTTTCTCATAAAGAAGGAAAAAAGAAAAAAAAAGGATAATGAAAAACGAAAAAAGAGTAAACAATAAAACTAATATATCAAAGAAAACAGATACTAATACTAAGAAATATAAAAAAACTAAACTAAAACCTAAAAGAAACTATTGCTAAAAAGAAGAAAACCTGCTAACCAGGCAAAACTTCTAATTATACAGAGTCACGATCTACTATTAAATGCAAGAGTTTTGACGAGAAATCTAAAACTAAAATAAAATACACTATAACTCATGCCAAAGGTTAAAAATTATATACAGGTGACTAGAGGATTTCTGTATATCTCTTTTTACTTTACTTTATTCTTTCAATTAAATCTATATCTTCATCTGAAAGTATAAGAATTTTGGAATTTTCACGTATTCTATCTAATGATCACATGTTTGTATATCCTCAACAATATGACACGTAAGGTATTCTTCTAAATAGTAATTTGAATTGGTTGGGTTATAATCGATTAATCGACCTGAACTAAATAAATTTTAGTTAACCGGTTGAGGAAATTCTTAATCGGTTGACCCAATACAACTGGTTGAAAATTGGATAATCGGTTGGCAGAATCAATATAATATGAAAATGATGTAAAGAGAGAATAAAGGGTCCGAAAAGTTCTGAAAAGAAAATGAATAAACATAAAGACAAGACAAAAATTCGAGTAAAGAACCGAGAATTTCTGATAGTAGTAAATAGTTAATTTTAACCGGTTGACAATCGGTTGAATTAAATAATTCGGTTCGATTAACTGATTAAAGAAATTTTTCTTAGTTCAAATCACTACTTCCAAACACTTATCCAGTTACTAAATTTGCTGGCATCATCTATTTTACATATGTTATTTGTCATTATACAGATTTTCCTGATATAGAAGTAATAAATATTGTCAATCTTTTAGAGGGGGTATGCTGAATTTCCCACTTTTTGTCAAAAATTATGGCTAAAAATATCGAAGGGAGAAAAATACTGTATTTGTGAGAGCTCAAGACAATGAAGATGTTTCTAGTTGTTTATTATAGAACTAAAAAGCTTTAAATACTTGAGTTGGAAGTTTTTTACCACTACTGTTACCAAAATAACTCTTTTGGCTTGAATGCCAAACATGCAAGAGAGTCTACCAAGAAAAAAAGCTTAACCCAAAGCACAAACCAACTATATATGCCTGCTTCTTGGTGTTTCATATATAAGTCTTTATCAACAACAGTACCAATAAGGAACTTTAGGTATCTTTAGACTTTTTAGAGCCTTGAATCTTCAAACTGTTTTGATGTGATCTTGGTTCAAGTAATTGTCAGAAAGAGTTGCTTTTGGCTTTATTTTCTTATTATATAGTTAATAAATCATTTTTTAAAGATATCTTACAATCTACTAAGCTGATTTTGATGATTTAACTATCATTAGAATCGTCTCAATGAGCTCTACAACTTTAATTAGAGACTCAAAAATAATTAACTTAGTACAAAAAAATTTAGAATCTAATATATTTAAATAAATTCCAGACAAACAATGCTCTGCATTTATCTAGTATTTATTATATGTATATTTTTAGCTTTAGTTTAATAATAAAATTTTTGACAAATAATATTAATTTTAATATAATATTAGATATATTAACTGGTATATTAACAGGTGCGTTAACTGGTATATTATCTGGTATGTTAACTAGGTTGTTAAATAGGTTGTTAACTTAGTTGTTAAAAGGATTGTTAACTGGAATATTAACTGAGTTATTAACTGGATTGTTAATTGGGTTGTTAACTGGATCATTAACTAATAGTCCAAAAGATATAAAAACCCTGCTTTTTTCCTCAAAGCAAAACAAACTGTCTCTTCTCTACTTTTAATTTCTTATCATTTATAGTTTATTTTCTTGGAAGTGTAGCCATCGCCTACCTTCTTTTTATTGTGTTTAATAAAGTTTTTATTGTGTTTTTATTGTGTATTTAAAGTTAAATCATCACCTCTTCTTTCTTCTTTGAGTATTTATTTTTGGTATAATGAGTTAAGCCATTGCCTCTTCTCTTTTTTTTTGAGTATTTTATTGTGTTTTAGAATTAAAGCCATCACCTCTTTTCTTTTTAGTTTTATTCTTTTCTTATTTGCAAACTCATTTCTTAACCCTCTTACATATTAAGTTAAGTAGTATAGCTTTACTAAGACCTCGTATTGCTATATTACAATACCTATTGTTCATTTAAGTTTTAAGCATGCCAACCCCACTGGGAGTCCAAACACTTTTGCAGTAACATGATGTGACACATGAAAAATGGCCAATTGGGATGCACAAATTTTAATCATCCCAAATCAGCCCAACATCAAAACAAAACATGTGCACAAAAAGAAAAAAAAAAGAAAAAAAAGTGAAAATACTCAAAAACTAGTGTTTAAATCAGCCTTTGGTCACTAACAAAAATGTTGGTAGCATAATTTTACATATAGAAATGATCTTTAAAGACCTATAACCACGAATCCTAACTGGAAACATCACATAAAGCCAAAAAAGCTTATTCGAATGTGCCACAATACACCACATCATGTTACTGCAAAAGTGTCTAGACTCCTGTCGGTAGGGTTGGGGGCACGGCAAATTTTTGGGGCATGCCCTCTATAGATATATATCGTAATTAGCAATGGCCAATTTGATAATTGACCAATTATATAATTGCCCTATATCACATGATAGGGGCATGCCTCTTAACCCCATGCCCCCAACCCTACCTGGCGGAGTCGTGGAATGCCTGTGACTTCCGTGCCGCTCACTCTATTTATAGTTATTTTTTAATTTTACATAATTACTAATATTTTTCTATTAACTCTTACTTTTTAAAACTGAAGTATATATTATCTTAAACTTATTATTTTTATAAACTTTCATAAACTGCAGATATTAACATACAAATAGTAATATGTATAAGTACATGGTAGTACTTAAAAATTTTATAAAAAAAACCGTTCAAACGAATACATGTAATAAAATTTAACCAAACTCAATATTTATTACAATATTTGTGACCTTAAATGTCACTCTATTAATAACCAAGATTAAAAATGATCTTAGAAGTTTCATACAAAAACTCGAGATCAAATATGTATAAGACACATTTATCAGAAGATACGATGTATATAAATCAGCAAATATTATTCTGATGTTACGTATTTGTAAGCAATATAAGCTACGATCACTGCGACAACAGGTACAAGCGAAGAAAAAAGGCTATTTTTTGAATCGAAAAAGAAGTCAGATTGTATTAAGAAACCAAAAATTATCATTAGAAAGTGACATTGACAAACCTAGATGGTTCTTCTTTTTGTCGTGGTACATTTTTTGGTGGGGGTTTTGCTGATGGTGGTGGGATTCCCTAGTAACGATACCGCAAAACCATTTAATAAGGAAATATCTCGTGGCCAAAAAACAGTGTTTATTATGTATTTAGTTAAATTAAAGGTTAAAGTTAACCAGATAACAAAGACTTAATATATTCTATTTAATTTAACTAAGAAAATATTGAATAATCTTTATACAGATCATAATAAAACATTAATTACTAACATCTTTTAATTCACCAATTTCTAACCCTTTTAGGATTTCAAGGGCTTCCTCAGAATGTCCAACATCTTCAAATGCTTCAGTGGCATCCTGACCTGCTTCATCAAGAAGGACTTCTTCGCCACCAGGGTGCTAAAAACAGTGAATAATTATAATACAATATATTTAAATTTTCGACGCGTTACTTCATAATCGCTGGTGAAAAAAGTTAAATATGCATTTTATCTTGAGTTTTAAATGCTCTAAACCTGCCTCTTCAATGAATTTTGTTACATCATAGACTTTGCCTTTAATAGAAACATACAAAGTGGAACCCTTTTCTTTGTGGTCAGCGAGCTCCGCAAGAGTAAATTGCTTTTTAGAAGACATTAGGACAGATACTTTAACAATGTGTTCGTAAAAGAATTGAATGGGTTTATACGTATTATACGCAAAATATTGTTTCGTCAGTGTCCAATAGAATTTATGCTATCTTTTCATCAGTCGTACAACTCTATGGGGGAAAGGTGTACGTACCTTAAATATCTCATCTTCATAGCTGATGTCCGTTAACTGCGAGGAGGTCAGATTGGTATCGTATACCACATATGATCCCTGTTCACCTATATTACCATTTTATCAATGGATGTGTAAATATGCATCGGCGATTTGCCCATACGTGGGAACAGAATAAAAAGTATTCATCCACATGGGTTATGCCACGAATTACTGGATAAATTATGCTCCTTAAGTCAAAAATCACTTGGTTGCCGTCATGATAACCGTGTATTAAAGGAAATATATAGATTATTGTAAATGATTAGGTTTCATATAACACTCGGAAATTTTCACCCAGTAAAGTATACGAAAAAATTTTAGTTAGTGGAAATTAATTTAGCCGATTATTTCCGTTGTTATTATAGATTAACGCTTTCATACGTACCGCTGTTATATCATATGCCAAAAGCGATTTTACATTAACTAGATTTAGGCTCGGGTGTTCACGACCTATCAAATATTCAAGAAACACACCAGTAGCAGCACAAAATATATCGATATAACGTAATGCAATGCAGCTTTTATAACCAACCAAACTATGTATATGATCCGATTTGGGCCAAAGTAGCAGAAATACGCAAAAATCTAAACATAGCAATTTTTTTTTCTACGTAGCTAATTTTTAAAATGTATACCTTTTGGATATTTTCACAGGGGTTTTTAGACATTTTCGCGGGAGAATGTCTCCCGCATATTGGCCAATTAATTGAGTTATGATTAAGGCTTACTGATTTCTTATTCGAATAATATTCGAATAAGTACTATTTATTTACGTAGTTTTTAGATGCAGTGCAGCTAATAATACTATATGCGAACCAGCCAATGACTATTATTCTACGAAGCTCTAGTTATAATTTGGTGATATGATCAGGAAAAGTCAAAGTAGGATTTTAACATTAATGTTGGGTTTGGTTGATCCAATCTTTAACCCACTCTACGTATTAAATGAAACCTTGCTTTATATCCTACTTTGAGACTTTTTAAATCTGCTTCAGGTTGCATTAGATTGTTTCAAAATTATAAACCTATTTTTAAACTTTGATATAATGCTCTTTGCGCTAACTTATCTGAATGTCCAAGATAATCACCTTGAATTAGGAAGAGGAAAATACTAGCAAAGATTTTTGTTTTATTGTCTACGATCCAATTAATTGATTCAAATTAGTCACTCATACGGAGTTTTTCTAGGATTATGAATTACCGATCTACTCTCTAAAAATTAATGAATTTCCAAGGATCGAAGTTGATTTAAATCAGGTGACGTTTATGAACTGAATATTTTAAATGTTTGTACGTACGTACGTACGCATTAACGTAAGTAGACATATTTAAATCATAAAACATCACTTGATTTAGATCAAAATGTCAACCCTAATCGAAGCATACTGGAGGGTTCCACGAACCTACAAATATAATGAGAACCATCATGGCAGAAAATAATCCTTTATGGCTTAAGTCTGTTGTTGACAAATTACATAAAAAACAGGAAATCAATTGAACGACCTAATTGCCTATGAAAGTTGAGTATAGTGTTCGAAAACAGATTAAAAATCCTGGTTAATCCGGGATTGATCCAAATCTGATCCAAATCCGTAATTTGGATTGAATCTGGGAGTGATCTGTGCCAATCCGACTGTTTGTCACATATATTTGTCACAATATAAGTGATAAATTTGAATTTATCATTTATATTGTGGCACAAGGTGTGATATATTCGAATTTATCACATAACAAACTCGAATTTATCACATAGAGTGATTATATAAAGACATGACCTAAATTAGGCCCAATTTCATTCAATCTGGGCTTATTCTGACGTTTTAAAGGTCAAACCTAATCTGACGGTTTGGATTTGCACAAATCTGAATCCGATTTGTGTTGACTTTTTCAAACACTAGTTGAGTATATTCCTAAAATTTTTAAAATTTGGGGTTTCTTAAGGGTAGGGTGAAGGATCTACATTTCTAATAGTAATCACATTATTAAATTTTTTTACAATAACATTCAATTGAAATCAGGTGATGATCATATGTTATTTATATATATAGTATAACTTAGGTAAATTTTG